CCTGGTGTTGACCCAGTTTTGTCCTGCAAGCAAGATAGGGTTGTCTGTGAGACACACAGTATGCAAGTGGAAGCATACCAATGTCAGTTCAACATGGAACAGTGTGTCTGTGAGGACAAACCATTCAGCTCGACAAACACATCTCTGCTGGAGACAATGGATGTTCTACTTTAAGGTGATTATGACTACAGCTTTTAAATAGTTCTTCATTGGTCTTTGAGTTAGGGCATTTTGTTTTTAACTATAAAAGTAAAAAAAATTCTGCCCAACTGAACTGTAGAGTCAATATCTGTAAATCTTTTTAGAACACTGTTCTGACATTGTATACTATAATCACATGGACTTCCTGACAAATGATAATGCCCTTTAGATGGTGAGTTTTAAGTATGTGAAGTAAGCTTCAATGAAGAACAATGTACACACTAAAAAATAACATTAAATTTTGAGTTAAGAAATTAGTTATTTATAAGAGATTCAAATACAGTAAGATGATATGTGATTCAAAACAACAGAAGAAAATTAAAAATCTAAATAGATACTCACATTTTTGTCATGAATGTTTCTAGAACATGGTTGTCATCTGTTATTCCTAAGACTTCTGACATACAGGCATAGACCTGCATGAAAAATTTAAGTGTTAAAAGCTTTATTATTCATAGGCAGTTTCAAAAGACTACTCAAGTTAAGAAGTCTAAAACTCAAAGATCTGCTGCATCCACACTGAAACAGGGAGTGAGTAAAGAGCTAATGAAATTAAAACAATATCATCCTAGACTGCATTAACTTTCCCACAGGAAGCACTCCTCCTTTGGGATGTATATATACTTACACAAAGACCCACACTCATTTTTCACCCAACACAACACATAACGTCTTTGTCTTCAAAGTTGGGAAGCACCTTTTTCTTGAAAGTGGGAATAGGCATGCAAAAGACTGGAAAAAATGTTCAAAAAAAGAATCTAAGATAAACACTTTCTAACTATTCTAGATTTCAGGAAAGTATCAATAAAATTCAAGATAATTCAAGGTGATTATAAAAGGAAGAATTTTTAGAAAGCCATGAGCTCATGTATCAGTTACACACACCTGAGAGAGGCACAGAGACAGGTCTTACTGCTGACGGTGGGACTGAGCTTCTAAGTGGGCAGAGCTGGTTGCAGAGTTTGGGGTATGATGTTTCTGTCTCAACCTTAGGCACATTGTGCGTACGAACACACAATCCCACTCCAAGTGGGGAAATACCACCAGCAGCCAATGGAACATTCCCTGGGAGCCTAACAAAGCTGAGAGTAGTTAACACCTCTACACCCCCTATGCTCTGGTGGGATTCCAGGTTGTCCCTGCCAGACACCAGCTGCATGGGATCTCTTTTCTGTCATTTTTATCCCCCAGTGGTTACGTGGTCTCACCTTCTGTTATGTTTATTTACTAAGTACGGCAAAATAGCTTTATTTACACATTAGCTTACATACTGTCACAGGTCACAACAAGACAATAAATCAGAATTAAAGGTCACACAAGTATTGTATTTGAATTTTAAGATTATGCAAATCAGAACCCTGAGTTACAGATTTTCAACTTGAGTCCTATGTCTGGAAGCCTCTTCCTCAGGCTTGCTGGGAAACTGGAAGGTGTACAGGCAGAAAAGGAAGGGGTGGCTGTAGAGGGAGAGAGTAGGAAAGGAACAGAATGGTGGGAACAAGCTGGGGGAGAGGGAGGAAAGAAAATTAATATTCAACTTTCCATTGTCTCTTTTGTTGACTACAGAGCCTCTAGGACAGAATTCCTACAACTATGCAACGGCTGCTGTGATCACTGTAAGGTCCTAAGACACTTGTGGCAGGAGGGAAAGAGAGCCTAAGGGACCCTAGTTATCACCAATCCTATCAAAGGAAGAATGGTGTGTAGAAAGGGAACTTCCCCTTAATTTACCATGACCCAAGACCAGGAAGATTCAAATTGGTCCTCTTGGAAAATCTGACATGACTTTTGGTGTTCACATCTTTCATGCCTGCCTTGGCCCCGAGTATACCCCATTTCCCACCATTTCTCTCAACCCTAAGCACGTTAAGTACTGAGTCATCCATAGGATTTCTCTGGCTCAGTATCAGCCTCCCTCCCCCGCCACCCACCATTCAAAAGTCATTCCCAAAGGCCTTATTAGCCTCCCAGGCAGGGTGAGCTGCATTTTCCTGTATATTCCTCCATATCTGCTCTGTTCTTCCACCATGGTCCTTTCACATCGTAATGTTTAGTTGTCCAACTCTCCCATTATGCTATTAGATCCTTGAGGGCTGATATTATGGCATATTCTTTGTCTCAGCAACCAAGACAAGAGTACTTAATATGTGATAGAAAAAGTAATGGGTGGACCTACAAAGACTGGATTACAATGTGAATAATCGAAAAATGAAATATGCCCTCCCCCGTTTTTAGTATATATTGAATTCTGTTGGCAAAAATGAAAAGAGAGAAAAGTATTATAGAGAGTAGCTTGGATTGATTGTTATTTTAATTTGTGATTATCTAGTGAGATCATGTATAAAAGACTAATTTGTGAAAGCAGACAACAATGGGGACCCGGTTTCCTACTGTCTGCTCTCTTCTGCTCATTGCTCCTGCAGGGGCACACACTGTGTTCTTCACCTTGCCTGGAAATTTAAAGGCACTGGTGCTTACCAAGCATGAAAACATGAATGAAGCTATTTAAACCAAACTCTACTCCAGGGCAAAACCCTAGTTTTCCCTCTTGAGTTCACAATCATCTTCAAAGAAAGAAAATGTGCTATAAATGCACTGGACACTCCTGGAAGATGTAGCTGAGTGGGTTTTTGGAAGAGATAAGGCGTTATCTTAAACAGCCTATTCTTGGTGTATTTTCATCACATCCTCCTCCTTTCTGTTAACTCCTAGCTAACGCTCTTGTTCTGGATCATAGGATGACTACTCTGTACGTCTGTAAAAGGAAATTTTACATCATAGTCTTTATAAATGCTACTTCTTGGCAAAACTGAGACCTAACCTAACTTTCATTTTCACTATGCCATAGTGAAAACAGTAACAGAAGTGTATCTTTGAAAACCGAGGTTCCCACCAGGAATTTTCCTGTTGTGCTAGTTTGCTGGCAGGCAGGTCTGTTGTGCTCTGCTGTCAAAACATTTTCTAAAAGCATCAGATCTGAAGCAATAACACACAAGAGCAAACAGTCAACACTGGCACAGGCAGTGCTTTAACCCACAATCCTCCTTATAACTTTCACCATTCCTTTTAGCATCCATTAGCTTTGATCCCCATTATCCCATCTAGAGCTGTGTCAACGCTTCTGTCCTCGGGGACTTCTCTCCACTACCAGGATCTGACAGTCAAGCTCGAGTACTAAGCAGGATCATTACCTCTTAAATCCACTTATCTGATCTACTGAATAGTAAATTGAAAAGCTCATTAAGAGCAACAATCTGATTTGTTTTCACGTGTGACAGGGTCATTTAAAATCAATGTATGATTACAGCATTTCTTTTAAAAGACTGTCTCACATTTTCAAGGTCTTGTATCATTTGCAGAAGATGAAAATAATATGAAAATATCTTCTAACGTTTAGAATTTAATAATGTGATAGGTAAGACTATTTAAGAGGTAAGAGATAACTTGCCCACTGGGGAGCATCTACAAAGTTATTTATGATAAAGCACAAGTCAATAAAAAATTTCTACTGAAAACAATTCTAAGATAATATTCAGAGTTCTGAACACTTTCTGCAACTTTTATCATTTCAAAATAATTTTAAAAATTAATTTTACCAAAACATTTTATGATAGCATGAAGAAACCATATCATAAAATTCCTTTTCAGGAAGAATGGAATTGGAAGGAGAAAAAGGCCATCTTCAGCACACAGAAGACTAACCTTTGTATCCAGAAGCTAGTAAGATAATTTGATTTTAATGAGACACATGTAAATACCACAGAAAAAGAGATTAAGGTCAGGCAAAGTAGTGCATTTAATCCCAGCTGTCAAGAAACAGATACAAAGATTTTGAGTTGGAAGCTAATGGGTTACATAGAAAGACTACTTCAAAATATACCACTGCCACCAAAGGAGAAAGACCAAGTCACCAGTTGCTCTTCCAAGGTTGGATAACACAATGACAATGAATAATACAGTCATGCCTTTGGTCTTGTGCTTTATACTGTCAGGAACATATACACTGAAAACAAATTTTGCCTGCTTCAGCCCTCCTTTGTTTTTCCCCCTTCAGTACATCTGAGAGCAGAGCTAACACTATCTTCTATGTCCACCATGCCCACCACTTTACTAATGCTTGCTAATGATCAAATGTATAGTTTTGCCAATTCAACTTCAATTCTTTTTTTTTTTTTTCCCCTTTGGAACAGGATCTTGTATTTAAAACCCCACTCACTAAGTATGGGAACTGGCAAACTTTTGTTGTTTAAAACGGTATGGTTTTAAAGCTTAAGTATTCCCTGGAGAAAGCTTTCTCTAAGATTAGGTAAGAAGAACTTTCTTCCTTGGAATTTTGGGAGCATCCACTGTTTCAAGTCTATTATAGATACTTATCATATAATGATATTATGATTTAGTAGTGTCAGCTTTTTATGTGAATAAAAGTTTCACCCACTATTTAAGCTTGTGCTCTTGTAGGGGAGGGGAAATCGCTATTCAGAGTTCTTAGAACATGGTCTTGAACTTAGCAAAACAAAGAACAGGCTTTGGTTTCAAAGACATTTGGATCTGTTGTTGTTGGTTTTTTTTTTTTTCCCCCTAAATGAGGCACTTCAAAATTATTTATTTTTATTTCATGTGCACATTTGTCTGTGTGATGATGTTGGGCACCCCCAGAACTGGAGTCACAGACAGCCATGAACTGCCATGTGAGTGCCAGGAACTGAACCCAGGTCTTCTGGAAAAGCAGCCAGTGCTCCCAACCACTGAGTCATCCCTCCAGCCCTGGATGTGAATTCTTAGTCAGGTGTTCCTCAAAACCTCTGAATCTTGGTTCCTTATTGGTAAAACAGAAATAATAACAGTAATTCATAACAAGGAATTTAAACAAGTTTTAGTGATGATTGAATGATAATCTCTTGTCACACACCTTGGCATTTGACAGTTAACTTTACAAATGCTACTTCCCACTATCTCTCTTCAATGGTCTTTCTGCCCAGCAGATTCTGTAATGCTCAGCTAACCCTTTGAAAGAGAAGGCCTTACACATCAAAAGTAACAGAAACAGAAGACAGTATTTCTTTTAGACTGTGTGTGTGTGTGTGTGTGTGTGTGTGTGTGTGTGTGTGTGTTTTGCGTGTGTGAGGGTGCAACTGCATAATTAAGAATGTACAGAGACCTGAAAGTGACATCAATTGTTTTCCTTGATCACTCTTTATCTACTTCATTTATTGAGAAAGGCTCTCTAGCTGAACCTGGAGTGTGCCCATTTTTGCCACTTGTCCTGCGGATTCTCTATCTCCTGCTTTGGAGTGCTGGAATTACCCTGCCTACATGTCTTTTATGTGGGTTTTGGAGATCCAAATTCTTCATGCTGTGCATAAAGTGCTTTAACTACTAAGCCATTTCTCCAGCACTCATGGATTTTAATAGCATAAAGATAACCATCAAGACCAACAAACTTTTGAAATTTGCATTAGTAATTCTGAAATCTTTATGTATATATTGAATCAATTAACACATTCTAGCCACAGAAATTAAATTGCCTTTGTTCAAGGGATAGAACAACTATGCCAGTATTTCATGACACAAGACCTTCAATTCTCTCTCCTTTTTTTTTTTTTTTTTTTTTTTTTTTTTTTTTTTTTTTTGTGTGTGTGTGTGTGTGGTGCTGGGAATTGGACCTAGTGCCTTATGCAGGTTAGGCTAGCCTCTACCACTTCTATGGGCACAGTCTCCTGAACATCAACTCTTTCTACTTCTAAACAGTTGCTGCCTTAGAAGCTTCAAAGTACCCATTTTAACTCTGACACATTAAAACAGAAATATATGGAATTTCTATAAATGTCAGAAGCTGTCATTACAGTTTGAGAATACATGTTCCTAAAACTCATGTTAATAAATCCTTGTTATTTTACTACAAAGTTTCTTTTAAATATCAGGAAAGTGTTTGAATGTGAATGGACTACTTAAGTGGTACAATGCACTCTCCACTTTCTGAACTTACCTAATGACAGATGTTGCTTGTGCATTTATAGGTAGACATCTTCAATCATCCTTTCATTTCTCTGCTTTTCTCAATGTTCTTATATACAGTTTTTAAAAGGAGTCAAATAAGACAAGCAGATAAGGGAATCAACATAAAAATAGCAACAAGATATTTGGCTGTAAATTTAATAAGGAGTGAAAGCAAATCCTATGCTAATTTTTAAACTGCTTTTTCCCCCCTTCAAGCCAATACTTGGCATTAGGTATGTGCTACATTCTGGTTATAACTTGTGAGAAGCTAATTATGTCAATCCTTACATCTGAAGTAGATTACAGAACTGGGAAACCCAGAATGTTAGTTCCTAGAGGTTGATGGATATAATGACAGTCACAGAGATTCAATAACAGCCCTCTGTGAGATGTACTCAGAAGCACCACATGAAACAAATTAGAAACAACGAATCTCTCATTGTGTGCAAATATGAGAATAAGAGAAACCCAGTTCTGTAGGTTTTCATAAGAGCCATTATAATGAATTAAGATTTTTGGATAATGAATTTTCAGAAAATTATAGTAAGTTAATATCCATAAGCTCTCTATAGATGTTTAAGATATTATAACTTCTCAAAGGCTTTAGCATATTCTGCACAGGCTCAGTGCATAAAATTGGCAGTGTTGTACAAATCAACAGCAAAGACTTCTGCTATCAGGTGACAAATCTTCTTTGAACCACCACATTCTTACAAACTTACATCAAATAATATAAAATTGGTAACATATCCCATCTCCAGTTGAATTGTAAAGCACTGCTTTAATTTACTGTAGTGACTTATCAGTTAAGGCTTTGACTTGTAACTTGAAAAAACCTGATTCAAAATCATGGAGACAGCCCACACATGGAGACAGTGCCCCACACATGACAGTTCCCTTACAACAAAGGCACTAATGTTACTTAGGAAAGAATTTGAGTCTTGGATATGCAACTGTGTATTATGAGTCAGAAAGCAATTTTCATTATTTTTGTCTTGTGGTCAATTCAGTCCTTTCTATATGAGGACCCTGTTAAAAATGAAGGTGTTGGTAGCGGACTGAGGTGGAGAACGAACTTTTGCAGCATTTCATTACTTAGCTGAACCATTTGAAGTGAAGAACTTTCATTGACATCTGAAGCACAATAAAACAGGTACACTATAACAAACTTAACATTACAGCAAGAGAATTATTGGTACAAACATCATTGCTGCATATTAAATATATAAACTCAGTGATGTTGAATAAATCTATATTTATCTTAGCCAACCTTTCCATAGCATTTAATATAAAATTACTAAATACAGGAATGAAATTAAGACAAAAAATCCTTTGGCAGAATTTAATTTAAAACCATAATTTAAGTTGGAAACTAAGTGGAAATGGCTGAGCAATCTGCTTGCCCCAGCCAGCAGAATCTGAGTTAGAGAAAAGCCAGTATGGAAGTGGAATATGAATCTTAAATTTGTACTGTAACAAGAATATCTGAACCCACCATCTGTGGTGGCCATCTTGCTAAGGGGACACGGACCTAACAAATCTCTTAAGAAGCATTCCCAATCTGCTTGAATAACAACCTATTGTGTAAGGAAACTTGGAGCAAGCACTCTGGCCTCACATTTCCTATCTCCACATCCTGTGGCAGAGCACGCTCAGCAGGCTGGGGTGCAGGGCTGCCTGCTGCTTGTGATAATCCCCTCTCCCAGTAGGGGCCTCCACTGATGCATGGCTAAGAACATGCTTCCTCTTTTGCTTGCATCCCAGTGGGGTTTCCATTCCTGACATGGGCCCAAATCCAGACTGCTAAAGGAAGGTAGAAAAGCTAGAGAATTCCAGATGCCTCCTGAGATATTTCTGGATACATTTCTAAACAATCATTTATTGGACAGAGTACACAGGTAGTGTGAAAACCAGTCAGGCTGGTAATTTTGGAGAATCTTTCCTTACCACCCCCACAACCAGAGCTAAGGTCTAACTACCACCTGTTCAACAGAATCTGGCTGTTTGCCTCATGTTCCTTCAGGGAGCCACTGACTAAGGATCGTCACCAGCATGAACCTAATGCCTCCCGACAGGCTGTCCCTAGCCAAGAGGGACCTGGGTCGAGTGCACCCGTTATTGGTCACAGGATACACAGCTCATAGAGACTCCTGTGGTGCAACCAGCTGAAAGCCAACCAGAGACGATGAAGAGTGTACATTTGTCCTGACACAGCTTTGCTCTTGCTGGCTGCCAACTCACTCCATGTCTGGAGCCAAGCTTCTGTTCACCAGTCTTCTGGGGAGAAAACCATGCTAAAATCCTAGCTATTATTCTTTCCAAACACACAGAAAAAGATGCAAACAAGGTTAAGGCAAAAGAAGAAGGCTTGGCTGGAAGGTCTGAGACCACAGATTGAGGAAAGCATTATAGATAAACATTTAAGGGTTTATTTATAATTTTGTGTTATAACAAAACCTTGTAACACCAAGCATAGAGGATGCTATGATTAGGATTTAAAGCAAAAAAAGAAAAAAAAAGTTGCTGTAGAAAGTTTGTGAGAGGATAAAGGCAGAGGGGAGAAACTGGGAAGCATAGAATTTTGTTTATTCTGCATGCTTCTTGAAAGTGTCAGCCAGAAACACATTCTGGCACAGGTATGTGCTAGTTGTTAGTTACTGCTAGTTAAAAATACCATCCAATGTAGTAAGTAAAACTTACCCTCTCAGGTATCAGAAATGTTATATCAAGAAACCTAAACTGCTTTCATATTAGCTAGTCTTTACAGTTAGTTTTGCTAATGAACATTTGCCTCTAAGCCCCATACACTAGGATTTCATACATAGTGTATAAGAAGTGAGTCAAGGCAATGCATCAATGCCCTTATCCCTGTGTGCATGTGTCCATCTCAGAAACAAGAACCTGGGATTGCAGTGAGATAAACATAAAGACTGGTGATCCCATCACCAAAACCGGGTACTCAACTCACCTTAACTATTTTCCAAGCATTCTCTGGAACTCTG